TCAAAGCAGCAGCGAGCAGCGCTCGGGCTGCTCCTCCCGTGCACCGGCGTGACCTGCGCAACCCAGCCCCTGGTGATCGCATGCATCTCGGCGGGCCTTCAAAGCAGCGCGTGATTGATGTGTTTCCCTGGCTCACAGGCTTGAGGAGGCTTTGAAGACACTGGGCCGTGCTCTGATCTCTCTTACGCTGATGCAAATCAGGAGCAGTGGTGCTGACAACAGTGCAATAAGCCACACTGATGTCCAGCCAGTAAAAATAAGAGCAGAAACAGCATTTTGGTCTTTCCTCTGCCTTGAAGGGATCTGAACAAATGAGTGTGAAGCAGAGAGCTACAAAAGCCTGCAAAGAAACGCGGGTGTAAAATAGAGGATGCACAACTCTGCAGAAGGGCACTTGTCGTTTCCTGCATCTAGGAAGGGAATTGCTGTCCCACTTTTTTTTTTTTTTTAATATAGTTAGGAAAAAATGAGGTGGAGAGATCAGTGATAACATCTCAGCCAACAGCAATGTCATAACCAGCACCCACACCCCAGAGGTTTCCATCCAAACATGAGGAAAATGCTTCTTTATTGTGAGGGTGGTTGAGCACTGCAGCAGGTTGGCCAGAGAGCCTGTGCGGGGGGCGGTCTCCATCCTTAGGGATGTTCAAAACCCACCTGGACATGGCCCTGGGCAGCGTGCTGCAGGTGACCCTGCTGAGCAGGGGCTGGATGAGCTGTGCGGGTGCCGTGGGGGCCTGCGAGGCGGCGGGGTCCCGCTCGCCCTGCTCATACGTGCTCTCGCCCCCAGGTGTGGTTTCAGAACCGGCGAGCCAAGTGGCGCAAGCGGGAGCGCTTCGGCCAGATGCAGCAGGTCCGCACGCACTTCTCCACCGCCTACGAGCTGCCCTTGCTCACCCGCGCCGAGAACTACGCCCAGGTGAGCGCCCCCCGGCCCGGCCCTCGAGCCCTGCCTGCCGCCCGCCTCTGCCAGCCCCAGCAGTCAAGAAACGCAGAGCAGCTCCGAGGAGGGAGCGGATCCGAGAGGGAGCGGGGCGAGCGGGGCGGCCGCGCAGGAGGAGGAAGGGCCTTTGCTCTCTCCTCTGCTCGGGCCTGCTTTCATCTGGCGTGCCCTCTCACCTCCGCCAGCGCTGCCCATGGGGAGGGAGGGCGGGTGCTCAGCCCGTCTTCCTGCCCGCCCCACAGACCCCTGACAGCAGCGTGGGTGACACAGGGGGTCTGTGCTGAGCTCTGAAGTGTTCCCAGTGTAAAAAGACAAGTCAGCAGAAGGGGAGATGGATGAACGGAGACGGCACCTTCAGCAGTGCTGCCCACCTCCGCGTGTGCCAGTCCCTTGCGCTGCCTCCCTCCACCACAGCCACATAAGTATTTTGGTGGCCGAGGGTACAGGGGGGACTGAAGCCTCAGTGGCGGCAATCAGGTGACCTGAGCATGGTCACTGATACCTGCACACTGTGCCCTGCGTGCTTGGTGCCATGGGGGCCTGTGAGGCCCGTCAAGCCCTGCTGGTCAAGAGGTTTGATCCAGAAGGAGATTTGGACTGAGAAGCGTGATTGCAGGGCTCCAGAGAATAACCTTTCCCTGGTCTGCCCTGCACCTGGCGCAAGTGAAGAAGCCTCTCGGGGGAGAGCCTCGTGCTGAGCAAGGAGTATGAGAATGAGCTGGGCAGCCCGCGCAGGGCAGGTGCCCTCCGCCAGGTCCGGGCAGTGGGGAGGCCCTTCATGGGCCAAGAGCAGAGTAGACGCCAGCAGTGAGGAAGGGCCAGAGGAACAGCCCCGCTCTGCGCCCAGTGTAGGGGGTGCGCGCGACCGCTCACTGCTATATTGGCCTCCTTGCAGCGACCTCGCAGGGGACCTCCTTTGCATTTCGCCCCATGGAGCGAGCTGAAGAGGCTCCCCGCTCCAACCCCATCCGCTCTGCCTTCAGAGACAGGAGAGATGAGAGGCTCCAAGCTATCCCTCACCACCTCATTTTCCTTCAGTATAAGCTGCTCTTTGGCCCCTTCTCCTTTGGTCTGTGGGCATTCTACTAGGGCACCATGTGGCTCAGCCTGGCATGCTATGGGTGCTGTTTTTTGGTTGTGCCTGGGGCATGGGATCCTGTGTCACCAGCATGTGGGGTGACCCAGGAGCTGGGAGGGAGAGGGGCGCCCCGTGAGGCTTCTCTCTCCCACTGGCCACATCCCTGATGCTTCTTTTCCCACCCCCCAGATCCAGAACCCCTCCTGGATTGGCAACAATGGCGCCGCCTCCCCTGTGCCTGCCTGCGTGGTCCCCTGCGACACGGTGCCCTCCTGCATGTCCCCCCACGCTCACCCCCACGCGGCCGGCGGCGTCTCCGACTTCCTCAGTGTCTCTGGCCCTGGCAGCCACGTGGGACAGACTCACATGGGCAGCCTCTTCGGTACGGCCGGCATCAGCCCGGGCCTCAACGGCTACGAGCTCAACAGCGAGCCGGACCGCAAGACCTCCAGCATCGCTGCCCTGAGGATGAAGGCGAAGGAGCACAGCGCCGCTATCTCCTGGGCGACATGACAGGGTTGCAACCCAGCGCCCTCGAGACACTGGGCGAGCAAACGAGGACAGCCGAGAAACATCCATCCGCTTGGACTCCAGACAGCCATTTCCTCCTTGGGGATCTGAACGCAGCACTTTTAGCTACCCTAGGTATATAAAGTACATATGTTAACCTAAGTGGAGTGTTTCCAACAGGAAAACAGGGAAGGTGCAGCTTCCTGGGATCAGGCAGGGAAAGGGAAGTCGTGGAGCAGCAACTCTTCCAGTGAGGCTTGGTTTGGGACGTCTGCCATGTCACCGTCACCTTCCCAGGGACCTGAGCATTTTTTTCCCCACTCCTTTCTCTGACACCAGACCCACCTTTCCACGCAGCCTAATCCCGCTGGTCTTTTCAGCGGGCTTCTCCATGCCCCACAACACACACAGATACGCGCGTGCACCTTCCCCTCCCAGTTTGTCGGCAGCGCGGCTCGGTCTGCCCTGGGCAGGGGACAGGATGGGGACTCTGGCACCAGCAAAGAGACACTGCTCAGGCTGCTCCCGTCTGCTCAGCGGGATGCTCGGCTTCCTGTGGTGGAGTGCGACAGGGCTGGGGCAATGCCCAAGGCTGAAGAGAAGGTGACGTTACCCTGTCTCCTTCTGCCCTTCCTGCTCTCTGCTTCGCATAGTCTTGGAGGAAGCAAGAAGCTATAGAGGCCCTAAGGACACAGAGGGGAGGTCAAAAAAAAACATGCGGTGCCACCATGGTGTGAGCCTCAGGCTTCTCTTGGATGGCCCAGCCTGAGTTGGGAGATGGCCCTGGGGGGCGATGGCTTCCCAACCTGCTCTCAGGTGGCACTAGGGTTTGCTTCACTAAGGTCGTGGTCAGTGTGTGGTGGTGCAGGGAAACGCTCCCTCTGGCTTTTACTGCGTCAGGAGCCTGTGGGAGGACAGTGGCTGCGCAAACCCACGGGTCCCTAGAAAGGCAAGAGCCCCCTCGGAGGAGCAGCTCCCAGCTGGCCTTGCATGAGCACACCAGATGCCTCGCGCACCCTGCCCTGCAGTCTCAGTACTTGCACCCTGTCCTTCCCCGCCACCCTCAACTCCGGGCACCCTCGTATGGGGTGGCGAGGCTGGACAGGGACCCAAGGCTGGGGAGAAGGGGACATTGTCCCTCCTTGTGCCCCTTTGGATCCTTTCCACCCTGGGCCGGAGACCCGAAAACTGGCCTGACTTGTCTGAGTCCTCATCCCCTCCTGAGCGTCCCACCAAGGCTCTCACCCGTCCCCTGCTAACCACGGGGTGACATCTCCGCTGCAAGGCTAGTTATTTTCCAGGCTCCCCAGCGATCTCATAGTGCCAGAATCATTTCAGAATTTCCTCTTAGTTCACTGAATTACCACTACAGAGAGGCTGAAGGTCATCTGAGCACCAGCACTCACCCAGCCTAGAAAGGGAATGACAAGATTTTGCTCCCATAAAAGAAAAACATGTGTCACCTTGTCCTCCCTCCTCATGCTCAGCATTAGGGGGCCTTGGAGTCCAGGAATATTTAGTGGCCTTAGAAAAGGCTCCAAATAAGCTACAACCAAATAGCAGGTTTCAGGTTACTGTATACAGCATAAAAATATTTCTGTAGTGCCTAGACATTGCCATGCGCTAGATGAATGATACATCATTGCTAGATTAAATGTAATATATATATTTATTGGCATAAACAAAGACCAGTAGTACTGTCTTTTTTCTGTCCTCAGAGCCTCTAAGAGATGCCTTGCTTGGCACTTGCAGGGAATCAGCATGCCTTTAACCATGCACAAGAACAGGATTTATAACCAACCTAAACCTTCAGCTGAGTAATTGGGCATGATGTTTTAGGTGCTGAAAATTATGCTGGCCACTGCGTCAGACAGCAACACTGTCTACACCTCTGTTCTTTTTTCTTGCATGCGATGACAGCAATGTTACAGTTTAAATTGCCTTAAACACCGACTTCTTCCTTACCTGCACCAGCACCCCACGCCTCATTCTGTTAGAAAAAAGCCCTTGCTGGTGAGCTGAAGGGAGAGGCGTTTTACAGCCCAGTGTCTGGCACCTGGGCAAGCAGCCAGGAGCCTGGGGATGCCCCAGTGTCACAGCACACGCAGGACACAGACAGCTGGGAAGGATGTGCAGGATCCATGGGATTTTTTTCCTCACTGACTCCATACGGCCTGGATTTTGCCCGAGCCGTTCAGCAGCTTGCAGGACTAAGCCCCGCATCCCTCGCCTCGCTAGCGGGAGAGGAGACTTCACCAGCATTAGCAGAGAAGTTGGGCTGCTGCTCTTACTCACCTCGCGGCCCATGTGCAAAGCACATGTTGGACCCGCGGGCTCTGCTTTAAACGTCACGGCCCGTGCCCAGCCCCGGGCCGGCCCGAAGGCGGCGGCCCCGCGCGCCCAGGGCCCCCAGGCGGCCTGCATCTCTACAGACGCACCCCGGTTACTTTCTTAATTCATTAAAAAGGTTTTAAAACCTGCCGTTAAATTAACAAGACAAACTCTGTAAGTACTCATAATATCAATCTTGATCTAGCCAGCCTGCGGTTACTGCATTTCCCAAGGGTCACAGCTTCTTGCAATCTCGAGTCACCGCAGCGACGCTTCTTTTAATTATTATTATTTTAAAACGTTTCATCTCTATTTATAACTTTTTTTTTTTTTGCTATTTATTTCTTAGTTAGTGTTTCGCTCCCGTCCATCCCCGCACTCGCGGTTCCCCGGCTTAGGCTTCCCCCCAAGGCTGCAAGCTCCCCCGCTGCTGAGCTCCCCGGCCGCGGCCGACCTCTCCGTCCCCCTCCGTGGGGCAAAACACTCTGCAAAAGGGCAAAGCCACAAAGCTAGTTTCCTGGAAAGGGGCTTGAGAAACAGCCGAGTTTGTTTTGCTGCTCTGACCGACACGGCAGAAAGCAAACAGCCTGAATTTAGAAATTAAACCCGAAGGGGGAGAGGGGCCGATCCCGACCTGGGAGCACCTGGAGGTGCTGCGGGAGGCGGCGGAGCCCCCCTGCGCCCTGCCGACTCTTTGCTGGTTGCTGGATCCCCCCCTCGCCCCGCATAGCTAGGTAGGTAGGTAGAGCTAGGACTTTTATACTACTGATTTTGAAGGACAGTTTTCAATGTGTAATAATATATCGGTTTAGGTGTGCAGTGTTTGAAAGAGAGACTGGGAGAAGGAAAGAAAACGAACCTCAATCAATATTAGTGTTTTTGTTGTAAAATATTGTAACCTTGTATAAACGCAAACTTTTTTTTTGTTTTTTTCTTTAGCTTAAGGGCCTGGGGTAGAACATATTAAAAAAAAAGTTTTAAAAAGTTCAGGAAAAAAAGAATAAAAAATATTAAAAATGTTGCCATGTGAGGTTTGCGCCATGCAATGTTAATGCCTATGCAGCCATGTATTACCAGCTCATTACAGTGGAATATTAAAGAAGAACAAACAATCTTGAAGCTTGTTTTTTTTTAACCTTTTTTTTGAATTAAGTTATTGCACTTGCAGCATTTTTCTTTTTTTTCATTTTTTTTTCTTTTTCTTTAGCTTTTTTTTTCTTTGCTTTTTTATTTTTAGGGGTCGGCATTTCTGGGCAACATATATATATTTTTTTTGTTAAGGGAGTGAAATTGCCAGGAAGGAAGCTGCTTCCAGGCCGCCCTGGCTGAGGAGACTCAAACGCTGTTGTTGTTTTGGTTTGCAATAAACTCCTTCTCTTCTCCCTTTCTCAACTGGGATCTGTCTGGTTTGTTCCTGACTCATGACAGATGAAATGCGATCAGAGGGGCCTCCAAAATCTCACGTTAATTGAAGTTGGCAAAAAATACTAACAGTGCCCTTTTGAACTGCTGACACAGTGCAGAATGGATTAGCTGGGGGTAGATTAACAACAGGTGGCAGCTCACGGGCCGCTGCCTCTCCCGGCACAAAGAGCTCGGAGCGGCCGGCGCAGGAACATCCCGTGGGCCCGTGTCGGCCGCACGGGCGGACTGGAGCGCGAGGGAAAACTGGGGGGACCCGGCTGGGCCTTTTGGCCACCACCCACCTCAGCGGTGACGTTTTCTCTCCACAGCAGCCTGGTAAGCGCCCAAGTCCTGGCTCCCGGACACGGGGGATGCAGCTCGTGCCAAGCAGAGCTGCGGAGCGCCCAGCAACCCGCTGGGAGCAGCAGAGCCCCTCTCACCTCTCCCTGCGCTTTGCCCGGAGCACCAGCTCGGCTCAGATGGAGCGCGGCTGTTTTCCAGCTCCCCGCGCAGCGCATAACGCAGGTGCTGCTGCAAGCTTATCCATCCCTCTCACTTGCAGGAGGAAAATTCCTTCCCTCCCTGAGCACTAAAAGCCAGATTCTCCAGATGTTGGCAAAGCCCTGACTATTAACAGCCTGAAGCCAGTTTCATCCTGGTTGTTGGGGTTTACATCAGAAATCGCTCCTCATCGGGAAGTTGCCAGGAAAGGATGTGACTCCTGGATGAACAGCTTTAACTGCACCATAGTCAGTGATATTACTCTTACCAGTATTTAACTTAAGGGGTAACATCCACTCACCCATATGAGCGAAGAAGACAGCAAAGTTAGCTGAAAGTCTCTCTATAACCCTTAGATAGTGTCGAGACCCAGACTAAATCTCTACACTTTTTTGCTGAAGCTACACTTTCCTAATGAGATTACACTTTCCTAACGGGATTAAAAAGCATTAAGAAATTTCCCACTGGGAGATGTGGCCACAGCGCCTGTGTTAACATGTTCCTTCTCCGCTGGAGAACACCACAGGGCAACGTTCGGGCAGTTTTAATGAAAAACAATCTTTTTCTTCCTGTAAACTAAACAGATATGCCTTTTTTCATCCTCTTTTTAAAGGCAGGTTATTAACCTTTAAGCAGATGGATGCACAATAGTCTTCCCATTGGCAAGAAGGCAAAAGTCACGCAAGGTGCATCTATTTATGGCCAGATGGAGCCCACATGTAAAGGTGTTGCATTTAATCTGAGACAAACAAGTGTTTATTATTTGTGAAAGGATCTTCCACTTTCTCTTGCTTTTCAGTTCATAACTTACCGGCGAGGCAAAGCCAGATGCTCCGAGTTAGCAACCCGCCCCGTTCGCGGCAGCCTGGCTGAATTCATTCCTGGATCTCATTTTACGGTGCGTTCTGCCTGCAGCCCTGCTCCGTGCGAAGCA